ATATGTTAGAGGGCTGACATCAACCTCCATAGCCTTACCTTACTTAAGATTACCGACTAGATTTTTGATTGCAGAATCCAGGACTGGAGGCCATACTGTTAACTCTGAAGAATGCACATGTCCAATTCTAAGAAACCTTTGCCTGCTTCTAAACCCCTACCACTTCCTTGTCCCTCAAAAAAGTCTGCTTTGAAACGCTCATGCTAGGATTGAGATGAAGTGGGCACAGTAAATGCTGTCTGCAAGCTCCAGTGCCTCCATTTATTTGTTTGTTTGTTTGTTTGTTTGTTTATTTATTTACTTATTTATTTATTTGATTTTTACCCTGCCCCTCTAGACAATGTCTACTCGGGGCGGCTTACATGAATTAAAACAGATCAAGAAAACATATCTAAAAATACAATTATTACAATTAATTCTAAATAACACATTTCCAAGATGGCAAGACTCAAGAAGAGGAGAAAAAAATTAACTTAATTGACTGGAGGGAAAGCCTGTTAGTTACTTCCATTAGTTCCAGAAGATTCCTCACATTTTTTTCTGATGAACTGTTAAACATAACTCTTCACATTTAAATTGCCTATCTGTCTTTTTATATAGCTTCCAGTGTGACCTTAAATTATAAAAGCCTAACCTAGATTTACAGCAGTTAATCTCTTAACATACGAGTTGTTGTTTACTTCATAGGTTTGTATTCCTGATCAAACCAACTATTCCTCCTTACTACTAAGGTATCAGAAATTTTATTACTAGACTAGATAAGTAATGGTTTGAGAATTTTTCTTACAAATCTTACAATATCAACATATTCCACCAGCAAAAGCCATATTAAAGTCTTCAGATAACAGGGACCAACTTAATTTTTGAGTAGCTGTTGAATTATATATTTTGTACCAATTCAGATGATAAAACGATTCCTTTATTTCTTCCTATTAAAGTACAAACTAAAAATCACATGATCACTCTCTGTCATTTATTTAATATCAAAGGGAATAAAACTGTGTGTTAAGAACCAGCAGTGGTAGTTTTATTCCAGATCATATATATGAAAGAGCATTATGTACCATTTAAAACATTTAAATCAAGGGTGGACAATCTCAGAAGGTTTGGGGGCCAGATTTTTGCCCCGGATCCCCTGCACACTGCAGAGTACCCAGAAATGACTGTTTACTACCATTATGGTTTATATCCACAGAGTGACATTTGTTTTTTGTCCTAGCCATGGCTCAATTAAAATAATGCAGGCACTGAAACAGAAGCAGCATGGTGTAGTGGCTGGACTGAGTTTGCAAAATCCACATTCTGATTCCCACTGAAGTGTAATTTGGAACTCATTTGGATAATCTTGAGTCAATTATTGTTGCTCAGCCTGACTAGACTCCCAAGTGTAGCGCAGCTATTATGCCACAAGGGCTCTGCTTCATTGCCATTAAAGCAGATAGATATAGATATACGGTAGATACAGATACAATGGTTAACCACTTCTAAGTACTCAGTACATAGAAAACCCCGAAAAGGATCACCGTAAGTCAGGATGGACTTGATAGCACATAATATTTAATAGATACAGATACATGTGTACATCTTGTAAAGTGATAAGAGGGCTATAGTGTTCTTTACTTTAACCAATGAGAGCCAAATACAAACACTCAATAGAGCAGAGACCCAGAATGTCTTTCATATTCTTTCTTGTCATATGAGTACCTCATACCTGAAACTTCAGTTTTTAAGTATTCACTGTCTTCCAGTAATAGCAATAAAGTACAAAAATACAGCCCTCCTTCTCCACAAACATATCATATTCATTTTCCGAACAATATCTGGCCTACTAAATTATTTGTTTGCAATTTCTAAGTCCACATTCCCCTACAGGCTTCTGTAGTATGGATTTTAATGATGCATAAAGCCAGAGAACAACACAGAATCATCAGTATATCCATTAAGTCACTTGCAAATGAAATACTACCTTTAACTTGATTCCCTATTATTTTGTACAATAAAATATGAGAAAATACAGCCCTCCTTCTCCACAAAGATATCATATTCATTTTCCGAACAATATCTGGCCTACTAAATTATTTGTTTGCAATTTCTAAGTCCACATTCCCCTACAGGCTTTTGTAGTATGGATTTTAATGATGCATAAAGCCAGAGAACAACACAGAATCATCAGTATATCCACTAAGTCACTTGCAAATGAAATACTACCTTTAACTTGATTCCCTATTATTTTGTACAATCTCATTAAGAATAGCTAGAGAGGTTTCTTAAGGAAGCAAAATGTGACATTAATCTTCTCCCTTATATATATCCAATTTTATCACATTTAATCTATCTCCCATATCATGTATCAATTTGCCCAGGTATTTTGTTATGTTATGTTTTGTACCATCTAGTTCCTTATTCCCATTGCTATTAAGTTATTTTTTTATATTCTTTCTCATCAGTATAGATTCTACTTTATCCACTCTTGGCTTGAGATTTTTTTTAATCTTCTAAACACAGGGAGTCACTTAATGGGTCTCTCACTTTGCAGTGCAGAAAGTCAGAATAGGTAGTTAAGGACTTTTCACCAATCCCATCTCACCCACCATCATATACACCCCTATTCTGATACCCAGTCTTTTAGGATAAATTTTGTAAAACAGACTGTTTACATATTGTTTCAATAGAAAAATATTCTGTGGAACATGGAAGTTCTAGCTTTGGCAAAGAAAGTTTTTTCTTCATTAAGAAGAAGCATCTAAAAACTTTAATGTTTAGAATACAATAGGATGGGGTTTACTTACAAAGGCACCATCTGCCCAAAGTAAGAATGAAACTACTATAGGACAGTTAGTTTGGAAAAGTTACATTTTTGTATTGTAACTCCCAGAATTCCCCAGCTAGCATTGTCAGAATAGCTGTAGGATTCTAGAAGTTGTAGTCCACATAATTAAACTTTTCCAAACTCTGCTCTAGGAATATGTATCTAAATTAAATTTTCTAATCGTAAAAACATATTTTGAATCTAATAAATGAGGTGTACTTTAGTCGGAGAAAGACTTTCCTTTTTAGTCAGGCTTCTGAGTAGTAAGTGGGAATCTAGGCAATGCTTGTTTAATTTTGGTTTTAATGTTTAATTGTTTTTAAATATAGTTTTTGTATAGTATCTTAAACCTGTTACTACCTTACAGTGTTGTTGTGAGCCACCTTGAGTCCCTTGTGAGGAGAAAGGTGGTATATTAAAAAAAATATTTACTTACTCACTTCCTTACTTCCCTTGATATTAAAGACCAAGCAGTTTTTGATCTCCTAAATTATGTGTAAGAAAAAAATACAAATGAACCCACACACGTTGGTTAATCTTCAGTTACATTGCTCGAAACTGTGGTTAATTATGTGACCCCAACAGCCCCTTTCTAAAACTATCTCTCCCAATAGAAGTGGATGTGTGCACTTCATGTGTTGCTGTAGCATGCACCTCCATGTGCCCTGTAATTCAGTAGACATATGAAGGCAACCTAGGGTTTCTCCTGCAAGTGAATTTTTCCTAGAATATTCTCCTCTCTTCGCTGCATGCACAGATGATTTCTCTGTCCCAGGCACAGATGATTTCACCAATCTTTGAATGAAACTTCCTTCTGCAGTCAGAGCTGGAAACTAGAGATCCCCAACCCATCTTTTCTCCCCCGTTGATGTCAGGTGCACTTAAGTGCAAATCTTAGGAGTCATAATTCTCTGGTAAATCAAATCTTGGGAGTCATAATTCTCTGGTAACATCTTCAAAATACACAACTTTGGTAGAGTCATTGCATGCATGTGTAGCATTTGTATAACATACTAGAATGTTAAAGCTGTTTAACACAAATTGTCTTGTAATCCATACAACAAACTTGTAAAGTACGTCAGTATTATGAGGAAGAGCGTTCAATCTCCTGTTACCTATTATACTGCAGAGACTTTAAAATGATATAGCAAAAATACTTGCACTGCTAGAAGGCTGTTTAATGGCAAACTGCTAAAATTCACAGATGCTAGTTCTTTGTAGGAATGTGTACACAAAAGGTCAGATATTAAAATATTAAAATAAATAAAGGCACCATGTATGTAATCTCACTGAAGTGCAAAGGATACAAATCAAGCATCTGTCTCCCCTCCCCCAAGATTATATTGCATTATTATTTCAAGGTTAGATTTTTCAATTTTTATTTTAAAAGATAGTGATGAATTTGGGAAGATACTTCATCAAAGAGAATTTAACACCCTGATAGGATTGATGCTTAAGATTGACATTAGTGGTGTATATATTCTGTGTGATTAATATTTATCAAAGACTTAATGATAATTTGTGTGACAATCTATTAAAATTATTATTAGCTAATGCTGAATTCAATACAGTAATACTATCATTAACTTTTGAACTTCATTTTACTTTCCATCATACTTATACTATCAGTAGCGTATCGCCAGTACAGGAGTGGACAACATCCCTCTCCTCCATTGCAAATTTGATGGCGCTACCCTAAATGACAAGACATTTTTGTGGAGTAAAATAGGGCACATAGGGAATACAGGCTAGTAGAATTACACTCTTGAAAGCAAGAAACATGACTCCAATCTAAAGCATGTTGGCTGAAATCCTGTTGCATAGTTATGCAAAGAGAGAAACTTTTAGAAAATTGGAATTATTTCTATCTACTTCAGATTGCCATATTAAGGAGATGTAAGACACAGTTCGTCATAATGCGGGGGTGTTGAGTCTCTCACTTTGCAGTGAGAGACCCCTAGGGGGGTGTTGGGCAGGAGATTGCCCTATGGACCCACTGAAGGTGGTCACCTCAGTCTTTGTATATGATCATTTCCTTGAACCGCAAAGGCAAGTAGAATTGCTTCACCTTAGGCAGAATTTGTAGCACACAGCTTTGGTTCAACATATTTGTTTGTAGCATCTCTTCAAGATGGGATTACCATGTGCCATAATGAGTAGATTTTATAATGACTTTCTTTGATTCTTGTAGAGGTGTATTTGATGCATCACTCAAAATGGCTGGGTTCTATGGACTGTACACCTGGCTGACCCATACAGTCTTTGGAATTAACATTGTCTTCATACCTTCAGGTGAGAAATAAGATGGTGATGAACTTTTTATTTTATATAAATTATAATAAGTTTTGGCCCAAATCATGACTTATATAGTAATATAACACATTTATCATATATTTCAGTGGCAAATTAGATTACATTCTTGCTCTAGGGCTTCATTAGATATACACTGGGGAATCAAACTCCCAGCCTCTGATTACACAGCCAGATGTGTAAACCACTGAGCCATTCAGCAGTTCATACATCAAATTTCAAATATTCACATAGGTGTCATTTTAAACTTTTATACAGTGGTGCCTTGACTTACGAACTTAATCCGTATTGGAACGGTGTTCGTAAGTCAAAACGTTCGTAAGTCAAAGTACCATTTCCCATAGGAATGCACTGAAAACCAATTAATCCGTTCCGGCCGCAGAAAAAAATACCCCCCCCAAAAAATAAAAACTGCAAGCCCCTGGGGCTGCAAAAAACAAAACAAATCCCAAAATAAACAGAAACATAACCCCACCAGCCCAATCCTCCCCTGCAAAAGATTTTTAAAAATACAGTGGTGCCTCACAAGACAAGCGCCCCGTTTAACGATGAAACCGCATTACGATGAACTTTTTGCGATCGCAAAAGCAATCGCAAAACGATGTTCCCTATGGGGTTTTTTCCCTTTGCGAGGATCGGTTCCCTGCTTTGGGAACCAATTCTCGCAAACCGACGATTTTCGGCCAGCTGATCAGCGGTTTCAAAATGGCTGCCTGCTCTTTTCTGGGACAGATTCCTCGCTGCACGGGCAGCGAAAATGGCCGCGCTATGCAGGATCTTCGCTGGACGGTGAGTTTCAAGCCCATAGGAATGCATTAATCGGGTTTTAATGCGTTTCTATCGGCTTTTTTATTTCGCATTACGACATTTTTGTTCTACAGCGATTTCGCTGGAACGAATTAATGTGATGCGAGGCACCACTGTAGTTTTAAACAAGCAAAAAGCAGCACCTTACCTCTGCTGCTGGGCGAGGGCTTCTCCACCGCCATGGAAGGCTTTCCCGGGGCTCGCCACAAGCGCCACCTTTCTCTGCCGCCATCCGCAGCCGGGCCAGGGCTTCCCCGTCGTCATGGGAAACCTCCCGGGGGTCCCCTGCTGCTGCCGACAGCCGCCTTTGGAGGCCTCCCAGGGATTCCTCGCCGCCATGGGAGACCTCCCGGGGATCCCCTGCCGCTGCCAATTGCCACCTTCGGAGGCCTTTCAGGGCTTCTCCGCCGCCATGGGAGACCTCCCATGGGTCTCCCGCTGGCGGCGGCATGAAATATTACACTTTATGTAGATAGTCCTCAGGATTTAGGTGCAATCACATGTCATGAAGAGATGCAAAATTTTTGTATCCTGTTTCAAGTGCAATAACTGCACTGTTAAATTTTCCTTTCTAACTTCAAACTTTGTCTGCTCTTAGCACTGGCTGCAATACTTGGTGTTGTTCCATTTCTGGGAACGTACTGGGCAGCCATACCTGCAGTTCTGGATCTTTGGCTTGTACAAGGAGAAGGATGTAAAGCTGTGCTCCTCTTGGTTTGCCACTTGTTGCCAACATATTTTGTAGACACAGCAATCTATTCAGATATATCTGGGTGAGTATTTCTAAACAGCTCTCTTACCATATTTGGAAAAAGCCTATAATGTATCAGGTGATGGTGTTGCAGAGTCCAGAACATTTCAAATAGCCTTTTAAACAGATGCATTGTGTTATGCAGCATTGTATCACTCTTTCTAGATAGCAATGGGTATGACAGTTAACCTTGTCCACACTATTGATAAACCACTTTCTTCCAGGTAGTGATGTGTTCAGGAGCTAACAGTTTCTCTAAACATTCGATTTGCTTGAAATCAAGTCATTACTTGAAGTTTAGCATGTGCAACCTGGAGATCAGGAACATCAAGACCTCCTTTGGTAAATAGACTACAACATGATGTGGCAATGATTTTGGCATGTAGGGTGCCATTTCTGTAGCACACAAACCTCTAGGTATCTTAGTTACATCTACAACAGACGAGCTCAAGCTCTGCCCATATTCTGCAGTCTTATTTTTTTTATTCAATATTTATTGCCTCATAACCTTGATTAGAGAATCTGTTAGCAGTGGTTCACAACCTTGGGACCCCAGATATTTTTGGACTACAACTCCCAGAAATCCTGGCCAGCACAGCTAGTGATAAATGTTTCTGGAGACCCAAGACTAGGAACCACTGTGTTAGAGGCTTCCAGGCTGCCAGGAAAGAGAACAGATCTCTAGACCAGTGATGGTGAACCTATGGCACGCGTGCCACAGCTGACACACAGAGCCCTTTCTTGTGGCACGTGAGCCATAGGTCACTAGTCCATCCCCCGCGCTCGCCCCCTGCGCAGCCAAACCTCTTCCGCCGCCACTTCTGGGTCCTCCAGGTCCATCGTCATGATTCCCCCTTATACTGCCACTTCCGGTTCCGGTCTTCCGGGTCTGGATCCGTTGCCACTGCTATCGTGGTGGCGGCCCGCCACCCATTGTTCCTCCCCCCCATTTTGGGCACGCGAGCCCAAAAATCTTCACCGCTACTGATCTAGACAGTTGCAAAAGGGAGCCACAATCTAAAAGTATGTTCCCTCACTGGTTAAATGAAAGATACAGTGGGGTCTTGACTTGAGAACTTAATCCGTATTGGAAGGCAGTTCTCAAGTCAAAAAGTTCTCAGGTCAAATCTGCATTTCCCATAGGAATGCATAGAAAACCATTTGATCCGTATCTGCTCTTTTCCGTCCATAGAAATTAATGGGAAGCTGCTATTCCTCCTTCAACCACTAGAGGGGGATATTTTGTTTCTTTTTTTTTTGTAGGTCAAGAAAGGTTCAGGGAAGGCAGGGAAAATACAGTCCAGGCAGTACAGTGGACCCTTGACTTACAGAATTAATCCGTATTGGAACGGTGGCTGCAGGTCAAAAAGTCTGTAGGTCAAGTCTCCATTGACCTACAGTGCATTGAAAACCGATTAATCCCGTAACAGGCCGTTTTTGTTCCATTTTGGTTTTTTTCTGCTCTGTAAGTCAAATCTCAGTCTGCAAGTCAAATCTAAATTTTGCGGCCAGAGAAGTCTGTAACGCAAAAAGTCTGTAAGTCAAGCAGTCTGTAAGTCAAGGGTCCACTGTAGCTACTCCCATGAACATGCCAACAACTCTGTCTAGTCAGTTGACCTATGAGATTGGTATAAATTAGCTTTGTAAAGAAACAGAATCCAGTGCTGCAGTGTTCCCACTAAAGGCACATCAGTTGGATAGAATAGCAACTGACCAACTTTGTAATACAGTGGTGCCCCGCTTGACAATGATAATCCGTTCCAGCAAAATCGCTGTAGAACGAAATTGTCGTCAAGCAGGGAAAAAAACCATTGAAATGCATTAAAAATCGGTTAATGCGTTCCAATGGGTGAAATACCTCATCATCCAGCGAAGATGCTCCATAGGGCGGCCATTTTCCTGTGCCTGTAAAGCGAAAAATCAGTCCTGAAAACAGCAGGGAGCCATTTTGCACGGTGGGCGGCTGTTTTGAAACCCGACGATCAGCTGTTTTTAGATCATCGTAAAGCGAAAAGTCAGTTCCCGAAGCAGGGAACCAATCATTGTCAAGCGTTTTTTTCCTATTTAAACATTGTTTTGCGATTGCAAAAACAATCGCAAATACATCGTCATGAAGCAGATTCGTCATGGAGCAGGGTAATCGTTAAACGGGACACCACTGTAATTTTTGTTTACGTTCATCCATCTTCCATACCATGAATTCTGCATTGTTTAGTCACTTTGCCTTAATTCAGTCAAGTTGTCAGGCACCTCTCTGAGATTTCTTGTAATTCTGCAGATTTTCTTGTAATTCTACAATATTATTATCTACAATAATGTAAACAATACAAATTATTGTTCCATCCTTCAGAGCCATGGAGTCATTGTGTTCTTTGATCTGAAGTCTCTAACTATTCTACAGTTTGATCACACACTGCTTCCCCTTGCTTTTGCTTCTTGGGATTTGCTTGTCACACAGCTCCAAAATTGGGCCAGGTTTCACTTGTCTTCCAATGTCATTCCTCATGTTCTTTACCTGATACTATACAGTATCTCATTTTAGGATCATCTTTTCATGTCCCTTGAACTTTCTTTGCTACATTGGACACTCAGAATGAAAGCTTTACCCCACTGGTAAAGCATCTGTTAGGTCCCAGGTTTACTGTACATCATGGTTAGTCTCCGGGCTATATATCTTCCCTTTTATTGTTTTAGAGGGCATTACACCTACCATATGAGTTGTTGGTGCCGGGTCTAGTGTTGTTGGTCAGTCAGGGAATATAGAAAGGTTTGAGAAGCTGTTACAAGACAAGATCTCAAGACAAGAGCAATGGTAGCCATTTTCTTAAATCTTCTAGTCAGTTTTTTTGTTGGTTTCCCAACACACACATACATACATACAACCTTGCCTCAAGTCTCCTTGCTCCACTCTAAGTTTACTAGTTTCTTCATTGTGATCAGGATTTAAGGGGAAGCTATTTTGACCTGATTTTTCATGACTGTGGTGTCTGTAATAGTTACGAGTCTTCACTTGATCTTCCTGTCATTTTGTTCAGAAACTTCTCTTTTGGTTATTTGGGAAATATGGTATATCCCATTGTTGCTGTAACCTAGATTACTGAAAATTACCTATGTCCACTGTATTTTTCTAAGTATCCGTAACTGACCCAGGAAGTAAGGTATTTTGTGTTCCCTTTACTCTGAAACAAGGTCACTTTAACCTCAATCTTATAGTGGTCACTCTATATCCCCTTAGGATACTTCAAGAGCTGCAGCAGCCCACTATTTTCATGTTATAAGAAAGTTTCTGGATACACATGACCGTTGAGGCACTCTGGGGAAATAGGAAATTATTTCCTGTGCACTGCCCTGGGAAGCCAGGTTGGCCCCATAGTTCTCATCTTTTCATTGACAGTCAAAGACCTCACTTTTTAAGCAGGGTTTTAAGTGACTTTGGGAAGTAGGGGCTGTTATGGATGCTATATATTCAGTATTTAGATGTTTATGGTTTTCAGATTTCTAAAGGTAATTTTTAATATTGTTATTTATTTCATTGCTATTAATATATCATACTGTATTTTAAATTGTTTATTATGTTGTTTTAACTGATTGTGAGATGTCCTGAGTCCCCTATTTACTTTTTTTCTCTCCGATGAGGAGAAAGGTAGCATGTAAGTAAAACAGATAAATTAACGATGAAGAAACAATACTGGGCTGCTGCCAAAATGCTACGCTTTCTCTGAAGCAGCATTCCAGATGGATAACAAAATATAAGAGAAGTTAGACTGGTTCCCTCCTTGATAACCTCTTGGCAACTAGGCAAACTGTACTTGCCCATATGGTTTTTTTATTGGCTTTTTAATGTGGTGTTTAATCTCTTTTTAAAGAGATAATTATAGCACTAAAGAATTCTGAGGAACAAGGAGCCTCACTAAGTGTTGTTCTGCAGCCTTGGAAAGGCATCATGGATGATTAAGACAGACATTGTAGCACCCTAATTAGGTATATTGTGTTTGCAGAGGAGGCCATCCATATCTGACAGGCCTTGCAGTAGCTGGTGGAGCATATTACCTGGGTGTAGAAGGAGCCATCATAGGACCCATACTCCTGTGTATACTTGTGGTTGCTTCTAATATCTACAGTGCGATGCTTGTGAGTCCAACAACCTCATTGCCCACACCATCACAAATGCCTTGGCCTTTGCAGATATATCGGTAAGTTACTATTGCAACTGGTACAGATTATTGCCACATATTAAAAAGTATCTCTTGGTGTGTGTATTTTGTCTATCCCCCCCCCAATTCCTTGATGCACTGCATTGTCTTTAACAATAAGAAGAGGTAATCTTAAATTTGTATTACAACATTATTTTTTATTAGAGCAAGAAAACAATTTCTTTAATTTGGATTTTGCATTCAGAACACGGTCAAAGAGCCCGAAAAACCCACAACAACCATCAAAGTAAAATCTGTCATTGCCTCCATATCTTCCCCTTCTATTTGCCAGTGGTACCAGTGGCCGTGATCTTCGGGGTTTTTTATGTTGAGCTTCAGACCATTTTTTGCGCTCTCCTCTTTCACCCTCGTTACGAGGTTCTTTAATTCCTCCTCACTTTCTGCCATCAGAGTGGTATCATCTGCATACCTGAGGTTGTTGCTATTTCTTCTGGCAATCTTAATTCCGGCTTGGGATTCATCCAGTCCAGCCTTTTGTATGATGTATTCTGCATATAAATTAAATAAGCAGGAGGCATCCTATGGACATTTTAGGATTTTCACTACAGCTACCACAATTCACAGAATTCTGGCAGCTGTAGCCAAAAAAATTCAAGTCCTCAGAAGAGTTTCAGCACTCAAACCTGAGGTCAAGCATGTTCTTCTCTACAGCCATTGCAGAGGCAGAGTGGATGGGACTTGCCAAACTCCATGGGAAATACAAGGAATTGGGAGACTACTCGTCTCCCTGCTCATTAGGCTTTGCACACAGTGGTTCTCAAAAAAACTACCTACAAACCGCTCTCTCCCTTTGCTGTAGCTAGCTTCCTACAGGGGCAAAACCCAGATACATCTTCCTTCCAGCTGCAGAAGTTTTATGTCTCAAGTACCAAAACCACTAGGCTTGCCAGGGAAACTAGGAAGAAGCAGGGAACATATGGGAACTTCTCACCACAACAATTCTTTCACTTCTCTTCTTTCATCCTCGTTTTTCAACTGGCTGGCTGGTTTTAAAAGAGAGTGCTAAGACTCCCTGTTGGAATGCCAGTGTTGAATTTGTGCCCCAGCCCACAAATCTTTCATGCCCAGTATTGGGTTCTGTGCAAAGACTTTGTGTACTTACGAGGCAGAGAATTGAGGCACATAGAAATTACAGCAAAAGTAGAAATTGCCTTGGGAGGATAGTTTGTTCTCCAAAGTTGCTAGAAAAGTAAATGCATAAAGATAAACAAAAGCTCTGAAATGACTGTTTTTGTGCATCAGCTACTTGGAAAAGGATGAAGTATTTTTTGCAATAACTTGTAGGTACTCAGATGGAATAGTTACGTGCAAAATGTATCTAGGAAAGTAAGTAAGAAAGTAGAAAGACCAGAATGTCTAACTGATTGATGTTTCTTTCTTCCCTCATTGATTGTATTTCTTTCAAATAATTGCTAAATTACAACAATCTTTCATAAATATTTACCACTCTGAATCCTTTTTTCAAGCTAATTTGAAGTAAAATATTACAACCAGAAAGAAATCTAGAAGTATATGAAGTCAGTTTTAACAATCCAGATTAGATAGATAGATAAAACTTCATTACGGTCAAAGACCAGCCACGTATATTTGTCTTGATCTGAGAATATAAAAGACTGCAATTGATATTACATCACAGAATAATAATTACAGTGGTGCCTCGCTTAACGAGTGCACCGTATAGCGATGTTTCCGTATAGCGATCCCTTTTTCGGGATCGCTATACGGAAACATACCCGATCTTCGCAATGGGGAAAACCCGCATTGCGAAGATCAGGTATTGCGGCAGCCATTTTGGGAACGAACGAACGAACGAACGAACGAACTTTATTACGGTTAAAGACCAGCCACGTATATTTGTCTTGATCTGAGAATATAAAAGACTGCAATTGATATTACATCACAGAATAATAATTACAGTGGTGCCTCGCTTAACGAGCCGGCACCTGGAATCCTCGGTGAACGGGTAAGTAACGAAGGTATTGGAACGCATTAAATGAAGTTTAATGCGTTCCAATACCTTTCCCCTACCCGTTTAGCGATGATTCCGTATAGCGAGGGTTAATCCGGAACGGATTAACGTCGCTATACGGGGCACCACTGTAGTGGATTTTATGAGTCTTAAGTAACACTCATAATGGAATTTCTAATCTCTGCCACCCACCTTTTTCAGTTTGTTGCACTTTGTAGAAGTGGATAATCTGTAGCATTTTTCTGTGTGTTCATAAACATGGTGTCCTTCATTTTTCTGAAAGAAACATATCTTCCGTTGCAGGCCTTCTAGAGAAAGTCCTGAAGAACTGAAAATTGCTACAGAATGAAATACACAAGATTTAATCTGTTCTGGGGAAGGAACTCATATTTCTTTTGTGAGCATGAAGCTCAGGAGAGCAGTGGCCTTTGATCCTTTCTCCAGCTGTGCCTAAGGACAGCCTTCACTGATGCACTGAATCTTCTTTTAGGAGCATACTTGTTGATGCCATAGTTTATTATTTGTGATGCCTTTGCAAGTGGACCTATTGTTTGCTTATTGCACAAACCTCTGATGTGGGGGGTTCTTAATTTGCAAAACATTCCCCCAAAAACACACGCCAAATTTGAGTCATGTTTTGTTTATCTGAATCTTGGTTGTAGCCTGCTGAAATCATTATTTATATTTTTGGATGTGTAAATAATTAGATTTTAGAAGATAAAATTCCATAGCTTTTTCTCTTAGAATATTCTCTTTAAGTTGTATTCAGGCATTATTAATTTAAAGGAAATAAACATAGAGTGAGGGGGAGTGTGCTCACCCTATGTTTATTCTGTTCACATTAGCAATGCCTGAACATGACTAATGTCTGAAGGACATCCATATTTGTATACATATATTTGTAGACATTTAAGTCTAGCACCTGCTTAAAGCTGAATATAATTTCATGCTGCTCTTTATTGATTGTCACAATGCAATTTTATCATAATCTTTCAAATCAATGACACCATTACTATGTCAAGAACACATGCACAGAATTTGTCAGGATGCATTATTAGTAATGGCTTCATAACAGACATATAGAAATATATCCTTTATAGTTTAGGGAGGACTTTTAAAATGACTTTGTAACTTATTCTTTTCATCAAAACTCAGTTTTCAAAATTGCTATAGTGACATTTATGTGAAACCTCATTGCCCCCAAGTCAAAATGGTGTATTCAGAATACAGTTAGCAGATTTGCCAAGTTTTTCAATAATTTCCAGAAAATGTAGCATAACAGTGCATGATTGTAGGTGGAGAGTTTATGAATTATAAGACTTGAAATACATGCAACTGTCAGATTTAGCAGTACTTTATTGCAACTTTGAAAATCTTCATTTGTGACAAGCAGTCCATTGTTTCACCTTAGTAGCTTACAATGTAAATAAATAATTTTAATGACAGAACAAGATTTTTCAGCCTTGTCTTTTAATCAGACCTTGACTATATTGTGTTCATCCATTCAACAAAAAGGATTGAATATTTTCTTCAGATTGCAGTGCCTTGAGGTAGTTGTGTTTTCTGAACTTTTCAAATAAATAGGGGGAAAAAATCCTGTGGTATGTTATTTGGCTCTCAGAATCCTGTGAGTGTTGATTTCATTTTGTATTGATAATATTTATTATGGAAATGTTTCCAATACTTCCTGGTGGATTCAGTCATTATTATGTGCCCCAGTGGACTTCATAGGATCGGTGTGTTCTTTGATATTCGATTTTCTGGCAGACATAGCTAAATATTTTTAAGTCATCTTTCAAGACAGAGTTCTCCTAAGGCAGTTTGCAACAACTATAAACCATGAGCTCACCACTGAAATAATACAACAAAATTTAAAATCACAAATTACTGATTTCTAATATTCCAGGAACCACAGACTGTACTTACACCAATTGCATTATTTAAATAATAGCTCATTTGAAAACATTGGCAATCTATACATAAATGATTCAGTTGAACCATTTGAAACCAGTGTGATGTGACTGCTAAAATAGCTAATGCAATCCTCAGTTGGATTAATAGAAAGATGTAGTCCATATCACAGAAAGCATTAACTAGGCCATATTAGGTATACTGTGGTTACCAGCTTTTTAAAACATTAATTTTTGGGTGCCTCTAAATTTTTGAAAGACTGTTGTGCATCTTAAAGAGCAGACTTCTGTCGATCCAGAGGTCAAGACTGGAATCAACAGGTATATATTGTCTGAAAGCAGCTTTCAGCTAAACCCTAAGAGGAACTTCCTGACTGAGAACTGCTCTACAGTGGAACAGATTGCCTTGGAGGATGGTGGTTATCTTCATTAGAGGTTTCTAAGTAGATACTGAACTAGCCATCTCTTGGGGGTATTGCAGTTCCATCCTTTGTTGCAATGGCTGCTCTGAGCTGAATTAGATTCAATTAGGTTGAATTAGATTATCTCCAAAGTCCCTTCCAACGTTATGATTCATTGAATTATCCACTACAGCAACTAGAAGCTGTTTCCATCTCTAAATCAGTGTTCATGCCAGATGGGAATCCAAATAAACCTAATCCTGCAAGACCACCTGAGGTTGAGAAGTCACAATTATACACATCCCAACAACTTGCAGAGAGTAGAAACTAGGCAATAATTATTCCAAATCATAGGACTCAGGCTCATTTTCTTCAGAAGGGTCTAACTACCACTTCTGTCAAAGTCACATGACTGAGTCTTCCTTATTTAACATACAGTATTTCGGGTCTATATGTAGTCCAGCCCTAGCAGATTTCAGTAGCCAGGATGGGCAAGGGTCTGGCAACATATGGGAGGCTTATTTTCCCAAGCAGTTTGTTCACATCACCAGGGTGACCAGACTGAAACACGTCCATAACAGTGCTCTGACTGCAGACACCTCTCTCAGGTCTGGGAATGGCACCCTTTTCCTCAAGAAGTGCTTGGACAGGGACCTGTCCTCATAGAGGGCTATTTCTTAAATCACATTCTCAACCTTTTTTTTTGTCTACAACCCCCCCAGGAGGTCTTCTCAGGTTCCCCCCCCCCGGTCAAACAAGGATACAACATGAATAGATAAACAGAAACTCATTTATTATTGAACGTCAAGAAAGCTTGAACATGGGTAAAAATCGAATAAATAAATAAAATAAATAAATAAAAACTTAAAAATGTCATTAACCATCTATAAATAAATAAAATAAATAAATAAAAACTTCTTTAAAATGTCATTAACCATCTATTAGGCTTGATGCAATCCTTGAGCTTGGTGCTTCTTTGCAAGTTTCATGTGCAATATCAGGCACAGACAATGACAGCTGGAAGTCACCTCTTGTCGCAATATCAATTCTGTTCTTGGATTTTGTCAGGGAAACTACCTAGCTGAATCCATTCTCAACCAAATATGTTGAAGGAAATGCAGTAAAAATGTTGGGCTTTCACCTACAGTGTTGGAAATTTGTTCTGCAAAACGGTCTTGATCCAAAACTCTTTTTGAGACTTTGAACTGACAATGCACAGTTAAAACGCTCTGAAGATCAGCCAAACTCTCCTGAATTTTTGCCTCAACTTGGGTACTTCAAATGGATTCAAAATCTAATCTGCGATACTCAGGTTTAACAGTTTCTTAAGAAAAGAAATAGCGGTTTCCTTACTATGTGCAAGGTAACTGTTTTTGCCCTGTAAGGTCTTGTTTAATAAATTAACTTTCTGAAAAATATCTGCCAGATAAACTATGTCTGCCTTAGCATCAACAAGTTTTTCTTCCTTTTCTTTATCAGAAAGGCACTGAAGGCAGTTTCTCTTGGAATGCCACCCACCTAATCTTGGTGTTCAGCACCAGCATATGGAAGTCTTCAGTATTTTCTTCACACAGCTGCGGGAAAAGAATCCTGAAGGGCATGGGATTTGATTAAGTTCATGGCCTTTATGACAACTGAAAGCAAAGTTCTGAAGTATCCTCCCAAATTTTTAGATACTACTTGCTCCCAGTGAATGATGTAAAGACAGACAGTATAACCTTTTTTTTAGATGGGCAGTGAATCTTCTGGATCAACCAGGCACAGACACAGCTCCAACAGTTGCACAAGCAATTGTATTCTTGATTGGAATATTGTTCTCAATCAGTAACTTTTGACTTCTTAAAAAAATAGAATGGAGCTGTTCTTAAGTTGGATTGTTCTTAAGTAGGGATGTTCTTAAGTAGAGACCCCACTGTATAACCTTTTTTTAGATGGGCAGTGAATCCTCTGAATCAACCAGGCACAGAAACAGCTCCAACAGTTGCATGAGCAATTGTATTCTCCATTGGAATATTGTTCTCAATCAGTAACTTTTGACTTCTTAAAAAAATAGACAGTCTCTTATTATCCATTTTAATCTTCCTGGCAAACAACATCTCTTGCATCAGTTTGCTGCCATTCTAGAATCTCATGTAAGCCATGAAAAGAGTGTTGTTATCTTATAAAATAGTTTCATCTCATTGTAAAGAGAATTTCTTGGATTGGAATGAACTGACCAATCCCTCTTCAATGTCATGTGCCATCTCATCGATTCTTCTGGCAACAGTGGAGTTGCTCAAAGGAATTGTTTCTTTGGCACTCCATGGCATCAGATATAATTATAGAGACTGAAGGCAGAATAAGCAATTCACCAATGTTGTGAACATTTCCAGTTTTAGCTATCAATTTACTAATTTTGGATGATGCAACAAGAGCCTTGTCTAATTTTTGTGGCGTTTGAGTAAGAATTTGTGTCAGTGTTGGCCTTCTCTCAAAATTCCTTTGAAGGTTTTGAAGAAATCCAAGGGTTTATCTTTTCTTCTCTGGATGCAAGGTATCCAAATGTGTTTTTTTCAATTTGCTTTCATTTGAAAATAGTCATGCAATTCAAACACATAGACAAAGATGGGTTTTGTGGAGATGCAATGAAACCATATGGTAGGTATTCCACAGAATACTGCCAACATTATTGTTTTGCCAAAGAACTCATGGGTAAGAAAATAGGAAAAAAAAATTTAAAAAAAGGACAAATGCTGTATAATGTATACTTGTGTATAAGAAAAAAAATGTAGGTCTTAAAATTGATCCTGATAACCTTGATTGACTTATGCACAAGTGTATATGGTCTATCTGGTCACAGACTTGCTCTTAGAGCAAGCAATGAAATATGTTCAGCAGACCTCTTGCCCCTTAGAGGCAAGAGAGGCAGAAAGAGGCCCCTAAGAGAGAGTGTAACCCGCTCCCACCATCCCACCTTCTCTTGCCACTTTTCCCACCATGCTCTACTATTGGCTTTCTGACTCTGCTCACTCCACACACACACACACACACAAATAGAAACCGTTACATACGCACTCACCTGCATTTTCTGAGCTGCACAGTGTGGTTTGCATCAACACGGACCTGTGTAGGTTGAAGCGAAGGAAGCTAGGTATGGAATGGAACGTTCCATTCTATTGCAGCAGCTTCAAGTGTGTTAGGAGCAACACCAGCCTGGCAAGGATGTGCAGGCAGGGGAGGAACAGCCTCACCAGACCTAATGAGTTAAAAAAAACGAAATACAAGGACACAAAAATGTAAAAAAGAAAAATTACCTTTCTTTTCTGCACCCCTCCTTTCTTCTCCAGCACAGTCAGTGAGTTAAGTTGCACATACACACACACACACATTACAACACAAGAGAAGCAACTGGCAGCCAATTTGCTGTACACATGGCTGGCTTCCAATGAAAACAGGCAGGGTGCCTGCATCAGCAATCGCTGGGGAGGCAGCTGGCAGAGCTGCCTCAGCAAGTTAGGCTGCAGTCATGGTTAGTTTCCATTGAAAAATAAGCAGGTTGCCTGTTTCAGCAATTGTTGGGAAGGCAGAGTTGCCTCAAGTTAGGTTGCAATCATGGCTGACTTCCAATCAAAAACAGGCAGGGTGATTTGCTTCCAATGAAAAGAATGTCATGGTGCCTGCACCAACAACCACTGGTGAGGTTGCAGGCAGAGGTGCCTCTGTTCTGTTCTAAGAAAGCCATGAAAACAGCAGGGAGCTGGCCTCAGCCATCTTTATAATCAATTCAGTTATCAGCCCCCCCAAAAAACCCTTGGAGCTCCCTTTCTCATAGATTGCAAACTGTGACCCCCTTCAAATGTGCCAGGGCCCTCTTGGGAATGGTTGCCTTGAATAAATAAGCAATGCAAAGTGGATCTGCACACCACACAGTTTACTGGCTGACTAGTCTACATGAATCCCAACAGCCATGGCAGATTGCTACCATGTTCTTCTAGGAAATCTGCAAACCTGTGAACGCTCTTCTTTTAACTGCCTTCGTAGCACATAATAAATAAAGAGTTTATTAGTTCAGCCAAGCACCCTAGCAGACCACTACTTATGGGTGGTGTTTTGCCTTAGTGGGTCAATAGTTGTGCAGGCCACAGAACAAAATTACCCAGAAGGAAATATGGTTTGTGGTGTGATGTCTGGTTTTGAAATCGGAATAGATGATTCAAGGAACAGAAACTTAGAAAAAAGAAGAAAATGTCTGGGTTGATGTTTTGGAG